CTGTTAAAAGATCTTGATCCTAAAAAATATGCAGGTCCAGATTAACTTCCACCTCATTTCTTAAGGCTGGCTGCTTATATCATCACAGTCCCTGTGACCCACATCTTTAATCTCTCCATAAGACAAAACTCCATTCCAGTCACTTGAAAAACAGCCTTTGTTCTTCCTTTGCTGAAGGGAGGTGACCCTACCTCACTGAACAACTATCGACCAATCTCTAAACTTTGCATTTTAGCCAAGGTTCTAGAAAAACAAACTCTCAAATCAAAAATTACCTGGACTCATTTAACATCTTACCTCCACATCAATCTGGTTCCAGGAAATAACACAGCACAACAACTGCTTCACTGAAGGTTCTTAATGACATTGATGAAGCACTGGATGCTAAGGATTATTGTGCTGCACTTTTCTTAGACCTGTCTAAAGCTTTTGACACTGTGGATCATAACATTTTGTGTCAAAAGCTGTCTGAAATCGGTTTCTCAGAACACACCATTGGTTGGTTCTCTAACTATCTCTCAATGTGGCATTGTGTTCAACATAATGGTACTTCCTCCAGTTTTTTAACAGTCAACAATGGTGTACCACAAGGCTCAGTCTTAGGACCCACCCTCTTTACAATCTACATACATACTGTAGGTAAAAACATCCCTAATGCATCCATACATTTTTATGCTGACGACACAGTTGTTTATTGTCGAGCTAAAACAATTGATAAGGTTTTCCAGCTTTTGAAATCTGCATTTGACATCATCCAGACAACAAACTGAGGTGTACCGCAAACCCACCCACACAGACCAGTATTTGCAGTTTGACTCCCATCACCCTTTGGAGCACAAGTTAGGAGTCATCAGGACTCTGTATCACAGAGCAGACAGCATCCCCACTAACTCGGGAGCCAGGCAGAAGGAGAAATCCTACACAAAACAGGCTCTAGAGCAATGTGGATATCCTAACTGGGCCTTCCTGAAAGCAGAGAAGAAACCCAAACAGGACTCCAGTCAGCCATCAGGTGAAAAGGAGGAACCCAGACCCAGACCAGTGGTCATTCCGTATGTTGAGGGGGTATCAGAGAAACTGAGACGTTTATTTTCTAAACATAACGTCCCAGTGGCTTTTAAACCCCAAAATACATTACGGCAAAGACTGGTTCATCCCAAAGATCCAGTCCCCCGGCACAAACAGAGTAATATTGTGTATGCTGTTCAGTGTCAGGAGGGCTGTGATCAGTCTTACATCGGGGAAACTTAACAGCCACTGGCCAAAAGGATGGCCCAGCACAGAAGATCAACATCATCAGGCCAGGATTCTGCGGTCTACACTCATCTCCAGGCCAGCGGTCACTCTTTCAAGGATGAAGATGTTCACATCCTGGACAGAGAGGAACGATGGTTTGAGAGAGGAGTAAAGGAGGCCATCTTTGTGAAAAGAAATCATCCATCATTAAACAGGGGTGGAGGCCTCCGGGTTCAACTGTCCCCCTCTTACAATGCTGTGATTGCTAGTATCACTCAGCCCTCTGTGAATAGTAAACAGCCATCAGTGTGCTAATGATCCATTGTTAGGCTGATGGTCCTTCTTGAGCATGTGATCAGCTGGTTTTGGTTGTCAGCAGAAAACTGGTCGATCCACTCTGAGAAGGTGCTATTTAAGAGACTGAGCTGAAAACAGCACCTCAGACTGAAGAAGTCTCTTGGATGAGAGATGAAATGTTTCTATATTTGTTTGCTTTTTTTTTTTGTTGGAATGTCCAGAGGACCAGATTGAACTTTTTTCGATTTTTCTACCTGGATTATAGAGCATGCATCAAGATATCATCCAGACTGATTTGTTCCACTTCAAACTTGGCCTAAATGCCGACAAAACCAAAGGGATGCTTTTTTCAAATAGGAAGTTGGTCCCAACAGTTCTTCCTCAGATTTTATTCTCAAATGATGTCCCGATTGAGTTTGATGATTCCTATAAATATTTGGGTATCTTGGTCGACTCGCATCTCTCTTTTAAGCTTCATGTGGAAAACATGGTAAAGAAACTGAAAGTTAAACTGGGTTTCATTTTCAGGAACAGATCCTGTCTAACTCTGAATGTTAGGAAACACCTTGTTTCTGTGACTTTCCTTCCCTCCATTGATTACGGTGACATTATTTACATGAACGCTCCTACAAGAACCCTGCAGATGTTGGATGCTGTCTATCATGGTGCACTAAGATTCATAACTGGCTGTGATTATCGTACCCACCACTGCACCCTGTATTCACTGGTTAACTGGACATCATTAACTTCACGCAGACTCTCTCACTGGTACATTTTCATTTTTAAATCACTTCTTGGTCTGCTGCCTTCATACATCTCCTCCTACATGTCTCTGCGTGAGTGCAGCTACAGCGTGCACTCTCAGGACATTATTACCTGCAGTGTTCCCTCAGTGAGAACTTAACTTGGCAAAAGGGCCTTCTCCTACTCCGCTCGTGTTTCCTGGAATATCTTACAAAAAGATCTGAAGCTCTCGACCTTGACCTCTCTAAGTGGCTTTAAGAATCTGTTGGACTCCTGGCAGGGACCAATGCAGACATGTTCCTGTTTTTAGTTTTCTACATTCGCCTTAGAATCTAGCCGTTTTTATGTTGCTTTTCTTTTTTTAGCCATCCTATTTGTAAAAAAAAATCTGTATGACTTTGTGACTGTTGTCGCTGTTGTCCATTGTTGTCATCATTCTTTGTTGAAATCAGGTCTATCTTGTAAATGAGTCCTCGAGGCTCAATGGGATTTACCTGTCTAAAGGTTGAATGAATGAAAAAAAATTATATATTTTGTTATATTTTTCACCCATGGACGTTGACATTTTTCACCTGTGCAATGCATGCTGGGTTGATGATGCGGTTAGGTCCCTTCTTTACGAGAATCTACAGAGTAAACACAGAAAGGCTAACATTATTAGGGGCGCAGTCAGAAAAAATTGATTTATTAAAGAATCTAGATTCCTAGTCTTGGCAATTCTGACTCGATTCTAAAGACCCATAAATCGATTTTAAAATGCGTTGGGTTGTTTTTCCACACTCCTACTCCCGAGCGTACTGCATATCGCATTACGTGTCCGCTCGACCACCGTAGGATTTGGCCTTGTAGGCCACTGTGCAGCAAGCTAGTTAGCCAGCTCCCTTTATCTGAATGGAGACTGCTTTCATGGAGCGGAGGACAGCATCAGCAGATTCAACCCGCTCCTTCATCGTCAAAAGTCGGTGCAAAGTCAGTTTGGATCCTATAATGTTCCGGGGAAGGCAGAGCTTAACAAGAGCACAGTTATTTGCAAGAAGTGTAAAATAAAAATGTGGTACTGTATTTTGGAAATACAACAAATGCATGGAAGGTAGATGAAAAGCAAACCAGCAGACCAGCGAACTCTGCAACAAACTTCCAGCTAATTCCCCAAGTAGGGCTGCAAAGATTTCCCACTCCATCTCCTGCTATATCACAAAGATTTATGAGCAAACAGCTCAGTGGAAGGCGAGGGGTTTAAGATCATTTTTAATACGCTGGATCCGACGTACTTTATTCCTTCACGTAGCTTTTAGCGATAAAGCAGCACCACAACTTCACCATGAAAGAATAAAGTGGGAGAAGCTCTGAATAATGCTACCAGCTGCAGCTCAAAGGTAACTGTATTTTCTCGTATTATACAAAAAGTTATATATACAAGTTGTACAACAAACATAATGTAATTTGTCTTTTTAACAGGTTGAAGAGAGGTCAGATGAGACACATCACCTGGAGCCAGCTCTAAATGATACGGTTTAGATGGTTTATAAATATCAGTTCAGATTAGTTTTTGTGCAGACTTGCACAGGTTTTGAAATTTTGTTAAAGATTTACCAAATATGAAATAATATGGTTAAGACTGTGATGTCTGTATATTTCATATTAAGTTACGTTTTGAAAATATACCAAATGTTAGTGCAATATGGTTAAAAAAAACTGGACGGAGATAGCACTACAGGACCTAGCATATGTCATTTACCCAAAATGCATTGCGGCATAAAAAACATGGCGACGTCCGTGTGACAATATTTTATTTACATTTATAAAAACTAAACAGCCTACAATATTTTTACTGTATTGATTTTACATCTAAAATAAATATTTCTCAAATAAAGTCTAGTGAAGGTTCTGTGCAGAGGGTAAGTGTGGGGAGGAGACCCCCCACCAGTCTGTTGCTCAAAAGCCCCCTGAGGGGGAATGGAGAAGACTGTGCCAGGACTTTCTCTTATTTACTTATCATGCAGAAATGCATAATTTGATTTAAGGGAGGGTTGACTGGGTATTCTTTCAGCTAATTTATCGATTGCCAAGATATCTGCCCTCTGTCCACATTGGGTCAGTGCACAGGTTCAATCCTATTTCATCCAGAGAAGGTTACGTGGATTACTTGTCATCTTTGTGTCAAGAGTCTAAAGAGGTGGAAATAGATCTTGATTTTGTAGCTGAAGCTGAACTTAATCTTAGAAGAAATTACTAGCTTAAGGTTTGATCAATAGTGGATATTGACTGAAGGGATCTGGGTCTGAGCTTTCCTTACAGTTTATGAGATATTTTGTTAACAGACAAGGTTAAAGCAAAACATTTTCACCAAAGTTTTAAACAAAGTTATAAAATTGGTTGATTTAGAGCCAGTTTTGTCTTGTGTAAGGCCATTTGGCTGGGACAGCTAGCTTGTATCGTGTTTACTCCCAAAGTTCTTCAGTTCTAGGTGTAGGTGCAATAATTTCTTTCTGAGTTTCATTAAAACATTTTCTGCAGTCCTTGGGATAGTTTGTTGATGTTACATAAAAACAAAAGCACAGATAAAGGCACAACATTCCCACTTTTTGCCTTTGGGTGATAAAAACTCCTAATTGATTCATAAATTGACTCATCATAAACTTGGGAAGAAAATGGTTTTAATGAATAAAATACACTGAGTATTGAAGTATTTACCCATTGCTCTATCCAGTCTTTAAACTCACCGGGTGTTTTTATGGCATGACCCACTCTGCCAGACCAGCCCATCGGGTGTATGAGGGGACTCCACATGTGGCACCAGAAGTCAGAGACTACATTCTCTGACGCGTCAGTCTGGTCTGCGTACACCAGCTGAAGGCGGCCTCCAATGATAGAGTCTATGATGGCCACTCGGGTTCGGCTTACATGTTTAGGATCCACTACCTCCACCCACATGCCAGGTTTGAAAGAGGACTTCATGTTCTCTGCCAACTGACCATGAAAAAAGACAGAAAGTTGACAGATTATTTCACCAACATTGATACAGTACTCATTCACAATATTACCATAATTTCTGGACTATAAACCACTACTTTTTTTCACAAGCTTTGAACCCCATGGCATACACAATGCTGCGGCTATTTATTTATTTATTTTTTGGGATAGGCTAACAAACTCCATGCTGCCAAAACATTTAGCCTTGTCACACCTGGGTGCTCACATAGCTGCCCAATACACATTTCTCTTGTGGGGTGGGTCCTCGTGAGTCGACCTCCATCCATCCATCCATTTTCTTCCGCTTATCCGGGGTCGGGTCGCGGGGGTAGCAGCCTAAGTAGGGAGGCCCAGACTTCCCTCTCCCCAGCCACGTGGGCCAGCTCTTCCGGGTGAATCCTGAGGCGTTCCCAGGCCAGCCGAGAAACATAGTCCCTCCAGCATGTCCTGGGTCTTCCTCTGGGCCTCCTTCCGGTGGGACGTGTCCAGAACACCTCACCAGGGAGGCGTCCAGAAGGCATCCTAAACAGATGCCCAAGCCACCTCAACTGGCTCCTCTCGATGTGGAGAAGCAGCGGCTCTACTCCGAGTCCCTCCCGGATGATCGAGCTTCTCACCCTGTCTCTAAGGGAGAGCCCAGATACCCTGCGGAGAAAACTCATTTCGGCCGCTTGTATCCGAGATCTCATTCTTTCGGTCACAACCCAAAGCTCGTGACCATAGATGAGGGTGGGAACGTAGATCGATCGGTAAATTGAGAGCTTCGCCTTTTGACTCAGCTCTCTCTTCACCACGACAGACCTGTACAGCGCCCGCTTCACTGCAGATGCTGCACCTATCCGCCTATCGATCTCACGCTCCATTTTTCCCTCATTCGTGAACAAAACCCCAAGATACTTGAACTCCTCCACTTGGGGTAGGACCTCCTCCCTGACCCGGAGAGGGCACTCTACCCTTTTCCGGCTCAAGACCATGGCCTCGGATTTGGAGGAACTGATCTTCATCCCGGCCGCATCGCATTCGGCTGCGAACCGTTCCAGCGAAAGCTGTAGATCACGATCTGATGAAGTCAATAAGACCACATCATCTGCAAAAAGCAGAGACGCAATCCTAAGGCCACCAAAACGGATCCCCTCAACACCTTGGCTGCGCCTAGAAATTCTGTCCATAAAAGTTATGAACAGAATCGGTGACAAAGGGCAACCTTGGCGGAGTCCAACTCTCACCGGGAACAAGCCCGACTTACTGCCGGCGATGCGGCCCAGGCTCTGACACCGGTCATACAGGGACCTAACAGCCCATATCAAAGGGCCCGGTACCCCATACTCCCAGAGTACCCCCCACAGGCCCCCCCGAGGGACGCAGTCGAACGCCTTCTCCAAGTCCACAAAGCACATGTAGACTGGTTGGGCAAACTCCCACGCACCCTTCAGGACCCTGCTGAGAGTGTAGAGCTAGTCCAGTGTTCCACGGCCAGGACGAAAACCGCACTGTTCCTCCTGAATCCGAGGTTCGACTATCCGACGGACCCTCCTCTCCAGAACTCTCGAATAGACCTTACCAGGGAGGCTTAAGAGCGTGATTCCCCTGTAGTTGGAACACACTCTACGGTCCCCCTTTTTGAATAGGGGGACCACCACCCCGGTCTGCCAATCCAGGGGAACTTCCCCCGATGTCCACGCAATATTGCAGAGTCGCGTAAGCCAACACAACCCTACAACATCCAGAGCCTTAAGGAACTCTGGGCGGATCTCATCCGCCCCTGGGGCCCTGCCACCGAGGAGCTTTTTAACCACCTCGGTGACCTCAGCACCAGAGATTGGAGGGCCCGACCCAGAGTTCCCAGGCTCCGCTTTGTAGTGAACTAAGCCTGAGGTCAAATCCTGACCTTAAGGACCTTATGGGACAGAAACTGTCATTTCATTGATTTGAATCCAGAAATACAGGTTGACCCATCCTGAGACTTTCTTGAATTGATCAAGTGAAAGAACACTATTTTCTATTATCATTACTATTTTACAAATGTTTGATAATCAAAGTGTTTTTAGTTCAAACCATTTTTAGATGTTGCAGTGAACTAATCATTTTTAATTAACTGTGAAACAGTAATAATGATTTTAATCCTCATGCAAAGTAGAAATCATGTAAGGTCTGTTACAGAGTAATTATGCATTTTCTGATTTTCTGTCTTTGAATGAGCAAGTGTAAGTTGGTCCAAGGTTGGAGTCAAATGCAAAACAAGTTGTTGGAACGAACTGTCATGTTTTTAAAATCCTCTCAGACGTAAATATAGAGGCTGGCACCTGTTTTCCCCCAACTCGTCTAAATATTCCTCTCGTCTGTCTGAAAAACATTTTCAATCTGTTCCATAACATTCTTGCTGTTTTTCTGACTCCTAGTGACCTCTTACGTCACAAAAACACACCCCTGTCTGGTCGAAACGACCAATCAGGAAACTCCCAAATGAACCGGAAATAGAGCTCTTTAAATGTCGGTACTTCCTAGTTCAAACTAGTCGAGTCGGGTGGAGAGTCGCTTCAGGCTTCGGCTTCAGGCGTTTGCCGCTCCAGTGCTGGGAGAACAGAAGTCCAGCATGATCCAGAGCTCTTCCGAGTCTTTTGGGATTATGACATCTTCCACCTCTGAGTGGAACTTCTGACGGACTCCACTCATGTGAGTCCACCGAGAGGTGAACTGTTGTTGATGAAGTCCCGCCACCACTCCGGACGGTTCTCTGCCATCCTACGGAGACGCTGGACCGGTAGCTTAACTGGAGCTCCGTTTCCACTGATTCATCGTCAGAGAGGTAACGAGTCGAGTTTACTACCGAGCGTACTGAGGAAAGCTGGGTTCGAATGGAGGGTGCCGTTCTGTTCAACACTTTTCACTCACACACACCATCTCCCTCCCTCTAAACTTCATCTTTCCATCTTTAAACTCTTTTATCTGCTAGCAAATTAATCCAGATATTTTCAGAAATGTCTGTTGTGAAGTTTTTCAACCATCGCCGTATGGTTAATCAAATTGTACAGCTTGCAAAATTAGCCATGTTGTTGTTGAAATCATTTTGCCAAATTAATGTAAATGTGTGATGTTAAACTTTGATTCTGTAAATAAATGACCACGTTCATTTTGATGGGTCAAAGATAATTAACGTCTCACGTTACGTTTTTAATAATTCAATGCACGACATTTTACAGTCCAGAAAAATGAAAGAATCCGTTTAATTTATGAATATATGACAGCATATGTTCATCTACAGCTTCCTCGGTGGAAGACGTGCCGATGAGATTGAGGAGGTCTTCAAAGTATTCCGCCCACCGACCCACAACATCCCGAGTTGAGGTCAGCAGCACACCACTCCCACTATAAACAGTGTTGGTGGCATACCGCTTTCCCCCCCTGAGACGCCGGATGGTGGACCAGAATCGTCTCGAAGCCGTGCGGAAGTCATTCTCCATGGCCTCTCCGAACTCCTCCCATGCCCGAGTTTTTGCCTCAGCAACCACCCGAGCCGCATGTCGCTTGGACTGCCGGTACCCATCAAATGCTTCCGGGGTCCCACAGGCCAAAAAGGCCCTATAGGACTCCTTCTTCAGCCTGACAGCATCCCTCACCGACGGTGTCCACCATCGGGTTCGAGGGTTGCCGCCGCGGCAGGCACCGACAACCTTGCGGCCACAGCTCTGGTAAGCCGCCTCGACAATAG